GAGGCAGAGGACCTTGTACCAGGAGGTGATGCTGGAGAACTGCGGGCTCCTGGTCTCCCTTGGTAAGGCTGCCTGCTCCTCCGTGCCTCGGCCCTGGCTGGGCCCGGCTGTGCAGCCCTGGAGCCTCACCCCTCTGCCTGCTCACAGCACAGTCCTGTCCAGTGTTCACCCCACCAGGCTGGGCCCCCACGTCCAGGCAGGAAACTCTGCCATGGGGCCCCAGGGCTGTGGAGAGGGAGTGGGTGGGAGGAAATGGGGTGCTTCACAGGAAGCAGAGCAGGATTCCCGCAGGCCTGTGAGGGGCACTACTGGGCCTGCTTCTCTATGAATAATGACCTTTCCAGCCAGGCATGCATGGTGCTGTGTCCTGTAATCCCAGTGCTCTGGGAGGCTGAGGCAGGAGGCTTGCAAGTTCAAGCCCAGCCTGGGCAATTTAGCAAGATTTTATCTCAAAGTGTGGGTAATTTTCTTCCTTCAATTAGATTTTATTGGTACATTTCAGATATACGTGAAGATCACATTCATCATAGAGAATTTGTACTCCTGCATGATACAACTTGATTCTTTCCCATCCCCCTACCCTCCCTTCAACCTCTCCTCCCCTTTTACAAAAGTTTTAGTTCAATTTTTCCTTTTTTTTTTTTTTTGTTTTTACTTTTTCCTTCTGACCTCCTCCCTTCTCCCTCCTCCCTTGTTCCCCTCCCTAAGCATTTTCTTCCTATTTTACAATAACTAATATACATTTTGGTCCTTACTTACAGTTTCAGTGTAAGTTACTTGTGCATGTCTGATTTATTTCACCGAAGAGTGAGGTCTCAAGGTCCGTCCATTTACCTACAAACACCTCAAGCTTATCCTTTTCTGTGGCAGAGTAGTACTCCATTGTATTTAAAAAACCCATCTGCTGGCCTGCGGTGCTGGCCCCGCCTCTGGGGCACACTGAGACAGCAGCTGAGACTGCGTGAGGTGGCGCACACCTGTAGTCCCAGAGGCTGTAAACAGGCAGATCACTACGAGTCCGATCTAGTAGTGAGACCCTGAACACCCTGCAGACCCTTCCCTAAAATATAAAACAAACCAACAAAAACCAAAAGCCCACGTCTTTATCCAGCCACCAGTTGACAGGTATTTGGGCTGTTTCCAAGACTTGGCTATTACAAGTTTGTGCTGCCGTCATTGTGGGTGTGCAGACACGACTGCGGCATGACACTTAATTCTTGCATGAAGATACCCAGAAGGGGACTGGCTGGGTCAGATGGGACCTCTGGGTCTAGTGGCTTTTCGCACTCTCCACACTGATTTGTGTGGTAGGCACACTGGCCTGCGCTCCCACCCCGGGGGAGAAGGGCTCTGTTTCCCCGCAGCCCCGCTGGCTTCTGGGTGAGGTGGAATCTCAGTGTTGTTTTAGTTTACATCTCTTGAATGAGCAATGATGTGGAACAGTTTTTCATGTTAATCTGATGTTTGTATTTCTTCATCTGAGAAGCGTATATGCATCTGAGGTGCCCATTTTTAGACTGGGTCTTTAAGCTTGGGGGTTCTGGGATTTTTAAATATGTTCTCTATAGTAATCCTTTTTCTGAGTAACAGCTGGTAAGAATTTCCCCACACATTGTGGGTTGTCTCTTCACTCTGTTGGTGATTTCTCTTTCTGTGCCAAAGTTTTTTTGTTGTTTGTGTTTTTTTTTTGTTCTTTTTGGAGACAGGTCTGGCTATGCCGTTCAGGCTGGCTTTGAACTTACTTTGTAGCCCAGGCTGGCCTCGAACTCGCAGTGATCCTTCTGCCTCAGCTTACCAACTGCTGGGATCGCAGACGTGCGCCGCCGCACCTGGCTCTCGTCACAGTAGCGTATAGTGTTATTTCAAGTGAGGAATTTTGATGTCCTTGCCTTGCTTTGTTTCCCGGAGTTGCCTTTGTATTCCAGATCTCTTCTGCTTCCAAATGAATTTTAAGTTTGTTTTCTCTAATTCTGTGAGAAATACTGTTGGAATTTTAATTGGAATTGCATTGAAACTGTATAGCCGTTTTGGAAGTATGGACAGTTTCTCTATATTGGTTCTTCCTACCCATGAGCAAGGGATATCTTTCCATTTTCTGATAGTTCCTTCAGTTTCCTTTTTCAGAGTATAGTTTTCACTGTATAAATATTTTACTTCCTTTGTTAGATTGATTTCTAAGTATTTCACTTTTTTTTAGATGCTATTATTAAGACTGGACGTGGGGGCACACGCCTGTAATCCCAGCATGTGGGAGGCTGAAAACAGGAGGATCACTACGAGTCTGAGCTGCGTAGTGAGACCCTGTACCAAATACATAAAAAATAATAAAATAAAATAGGTGCTCTGATTAAAAATGTTGTTTTCTTCATTTCTCTCTCAGTGAGTTTGTTCTTTGTACAGAAAGGCTATTGATGTTTGAGTGTTGACTTTGCGTCCAGTTACACTCCTAGTTTGTTTATTAAATCTAGAAGACTTTTGGTTGAATTTTTGAGGTCATCTGTAAATAATGATCATTGAACTTCTTCCCTTCCTATCCTTATTCCTTTTATTTTAGTCTCTTGTCTAATTGCTCTAGTGAGCATCCTTGCCTTGCTCCTGATTTTATAGTGAAGGTTTTCAGTTTTTGACCGTTTCTTGTGTGCAGGCGAGAAGAATGTGTCCTCTCATGTGAGGTAGAACATTCTGTGGACATCAGCCAAGGCCATGTGTTCAGTGGCTTGGGCCACTTCTGGTATTTCATTGTCCATACTTTGTCCAGTTGATCTATTTGTGACAGTGGGTATCGAGGTGCCCCAGCACAGTTGTCCTGGGGTGCTCATTTGATTCTTCACGTGCATTACTAGTGCTTGTTTAATATAGCGGGGCACACTGGTATTTGTTGCAGTTACATATTATGCATATTATGTTACATATTTATGATTGTTATGTCTTCCTCTTGGATTGCTGCCTTTACAAGGATGTAGTGACCTTCTTTGTCTCTCTTAATCAGTCTTGGTTTGAACTCCACTTTGTCTGCAAATGAATAGCTACCCCAGCTTTTTTCTGGGTTCCTGTTGCGTGGAGTATTGTTTTCCACCCTTTGACTTTCAGTCTATGAATTTCATTTGTAAGTAAATGTGCTTCTTGTATGCAGCACGATGTAGGAGCTTGCGTCTTGGTCATTCTGCCAGTCTGTTTTTCCCCCTGGTGAATTGGGACCATTAACATTAATGGTTATAGCTGATATGTGCTGACTTATCCTGCACATGTTATTTTCTTGTTGCCCCCCTTTCCCTCTGTTTAATTGGCTTGCCCTTCCTGGTGGTTCTTTCTGTTGGGTTCATGGAGTTCCAGTCCTTGTTGTCTCTTTCTAGAGTGTCCTTCAGAACATTGTGGAGTGCTGATTTGGTGGTTATTAATTTCCTCAGAAGTTGTCATAGAGACTAAAGCGCCTGCTTTGGCAGAGTGCGGCAGCCGGGTTTGCTCCTGGCCTGCAGTGCGGCCCTGCCCCGTGGGCACACTGAGATGGCGATTGAGACTGGGCGTGGTGGCACCCACCTGTCATCCCAGAGTTTGGGAGGCTGAAAACAGGAGGATCACTACAAGTCTGATCTACGTGATGAGGCGCCCAAGACCCCTCCCCAGCCAGACCCCAA